CCGGCCTCCCGAGACGAGAGTTTCCCTCTCTCTCTTGGGCATCTCCGACGAGAAGGAACCGGGAAAGGCTTTGCGATTTAGGTCGGGTCGGGAGTCGACTCGAGAATGTCGTCGTGCGAGGTGAGAGATATCATCTGTGGGAGCTCGAGGCGCGAAAACCAGCACGAAAACCGCGGGTTAACCGTGGGTTATGTCTCGTTGATAAGGCGTCGACCCAAGTATTACGGGGATTACTTTTGGGCCGCCGGGGGCATCGCTCCGTGTCGGCAGCGGGTGCCGGTAATAAATATTACTACGTATATAACATTATAAATAGCATTACGTTTTTTAATAAATATTGCAAAAAAAAAGCCTGATCCTTTTACGAGATGATGATTCTGCCACGCAACCGGTGCAAATTTTCTCGAGCGATTTCTTTGCTCGCGAAACTTTTTCGGAGCGAAATCTTACACTACGCGGCGCAGCATTGACGCGAGCAAGTAAAAAAAAAAAATGTGATTAAGGATTGTGGAAGGAAATACCCGAACGAAATGGAAAGTGAACCCTTCTCCGTGAGCGATTCTCAGATTCGCTTTCGTCGGTGAAATAGCGTGATCGCGTGATGCGCAGTCGCGTTATTCGCGATAGTCGCGTTATTCCGGGAACGGGACCCAGGCGGGCCGAACGGTCGGATCGGTGTTTCCGGTCTATTTCCTGCATTCTGACCCGTTTTTTCCATTCTGCCCCACTTTCCAGATGAAAGCGGACTCGAGATCGTGACATGAGGAGGTGTGATGCCACCGTGACATGAGGAGGTTTGATGCCATCGTGACATGAAAAGGTTTGATGCCCGGGCGGTCAGGTGCAAGGAAGCGGTGGCTGTCGCTCCTCGCCACGCTCGTGGGCGTCGCGGCGGCCGTGGCGGTCGTCGCGGTTCACGTCGTCTGGCTCTTCTTGAGGGTGGAGGTGGAGACGCGGCCGAGCAGGGGGATCGTGCCGAGGGTGCTCATCGGGTATGGGGTGGAGACGGAGTTTAAGAGGTTGGGGAGGGGGGATGTGTCGTGTTCGGTGCCGTTTCCGGGGGAGGGGAGGGGAGAGAACGAGCTGTGGCAGAGGCCGGGGGGGACGACGTGGTTTCTTTACGGTGAGGATGGGGCGTTTTATGACGATCGGGTCTCGGTGAACGGGAAGAGGTTCGCGTACGTGAGGATACCGGGGATGTTGGAGGGGAGGAACGAGTCGGAGACGGAGGCGGGGTTCTTCTGTCGACTCTGGTCGTCCGAGACGGAGTCCACCGTCGTGCCGGGGCAGAAGACGGAGATCTGGGTCCGTCGGTGGGATTCCGGACAGAAGACCCGTCTGTACCGACCGTACCTCGTCTCGTGTCCCGTTCCCGCGAACGCGACCGTGACGCACGTGTCCATCGTGAAAGAGGCGTGCGCCCGTCCCACGTCGCTCCTCCGCGTCACGCACGCGAGCGAAGACCGAGATCGGACCGGCCTCCGGTTCGGCGTGTGCGTGAAAGCCCTGGACTTCCAAGAGGACGTCTCGCGACGACTGGTGGAATGGATGGAGTGGAACCTGATCCTCGGCGCCGAGCGGGTCCACTTCTACCTCTTCCAAGTCCATCCCCGCGTCCACAAGGTACTGAAGCACTACGAGCGGGAAGGATCCGCGAGCGTGCGGGCCCACACGCTCCCCGGATCCCAACCCAACTTCCCCCCCGTCCGGACGGCCTTCCTCAAGCAGAACTCGTGGCAGAAGCGGCGGAACGAGCTCCTCCCGTACAACGACTGCTTCTACCGGCACCGCGGCCGATACGACCTCATCGCGATCCTGGACGTGGACGAGGTCCTCGTCCCCGTCCGCGTCCGCACCTGGAAGGAACTCTTCCGGGAGATCCTCCGAGAAGAACCCGGAGCCCTCGACGCCTACGCTTCCTTCTCCGTCCGCAACGCCTTCTTCTTCGACGAGATGTCCCCCTCGCCCCCCGGCAACGAAGTGCTGCGCATGGCGAATCGCCTCGCCCGGAGCGAAGCGCTCAGCCCCCCCGGCTACTCCGTTAAGAGCTGGGTCTCCACGCGGGCCGCCTTGACCGTCTTCAACCACTACGCGCTCGAGAGCGTCCTCGCCTCGGGCACCTCCGCGAAGACCCAGAAGATGCTCGACCCGGAACTCGTCCGGATGAACCATTACAAGGGATCCTGCAATGCGCGCGACTGCATGCCGTATCTCATGGGTTCCACCGTCAACGACAGTCTCGCGCTCAAGTATCGGGACGAGCTCGAGCGGCGGGTCCGGGCCGTTCTGGAACGCTTGAAACTGATCTGAGTATTAGATTGTGAATCTCGACCCTTTCCAGTGGTGATAAAGTTCCTCTTTATTAATACCTCATTTCCTTCCAGCTTTTCGCTCGTCACTAACACTGACGCACACCCTTGCCCTCTTGCCCGTGTCCGACGTTATTTTTTTTAAATATTATTTTCATATAATAATTTATTTAATTTTCATTAAATACGCTCCAGATGGGGACTCCTTAGCAAAAAGCCATTAAGCCCATGTGCCGATCGGGAACGATGACAGACAGTGCAAAGAGTGCGGGAACGATCTTACGAAAAGATCCCACAGATTTTTGAAACAAAAAACCAATAGGATTCCTATGAGTTTCCCGTAAAATCCTATATGATATCGATAGGAACCTATAGGATCTTAAAGGTATCCTACATGATTCTATGGGATATTTTGGGAACCCATAGGAATCCTACAGATATAATTTCCTTTAGGACCGTTTCTTAAGGGATATAGATATATAGATTTTATCAATATTGATTTTCACCGTTACCGTTACCGAAACGATACGTCGTTTACATCGCTTCTACATTATTCAGGCGGACAAATCAGGAAAGAATTACGAATTCTCTTGAGAATTACGAAGACGATCAAGTGTTGCGTCTTTTCGACGACGCGAAATGCGCCGCATGCTAACAACGAACCCGTGCGTCGGGATCACTAGAGATAGCAAGACTTGCCACGCAATACACTTTTTGATACCAAGGTGAAAGCGCGCCAGGTTGTCCAAGTGATTGTCTTTCAGAATGGATGGACTGTAAGACGAGGGAGGAACACCCGAGCATCCGAACTGTACGCTACTCGAAGCACTTGCCAATTCTTCCCAATATAATTAGTCGCGACTGAAAAACGGATGGACAGCCAATAGCAACTCCAAGCTCCGTTTCTGGGCGCTGCAACAAAATAGTTCAGAACCTAGTATATTGCTGTTGTATGTCGATTGTCCAGTAAGATGCTTTTTGGTCTTAGCCGCAATTCACCATCCCATTTCAGTACTCCGCTCACAATAAGAGTATTTAGGTTCTTTTACCAGGGCATTAGGAAAATTACAAATAAAATTAAATAAACAAGTAATTCCAAAAGATATCTTTAATATATTTTGCAACAGATGCCAATGATGTAACCGGTAACAATGAGAAAACATGACCCAAGGGAATGCAGTAAGTAACGAAGAAAACTCGTTTTAGATGCCGACGGTTGAAAAGTAGTTGCAACTGTTGTATGCAGCTGATGGTGATGAACATTTTTTGAGGATCTTCCTCGTTGGCATCAGAGGAGCAGCATGATATGCAAGCACATATGCTTACACTCTGGACACTTACTTTTCCTGACCATCGTCCAAGGCTTCTTGGACCTTCCACATGACCACTATTGACGCCAAGGCTATGTTCCTTACGTGCCTTTCGGGCAGTCACACTGCAGTGAAACTGTTGCACATGACCATCTGCAATGCAATGCAACCATGCTTCCATGGAAAACAGCAGCGGCAACAAGAAGGGTCTGAGTTCGAGCTAGAAGGAACTTCATAATCGACAATTACAGGAAGGAGAACACAAATCATGAGTGACAAAACTTCCACAGATCCATTTCAGAGAAACCAGCAATTTTAATATAAGCTTGGGGCAGGATTTTGACACTTTGGTCTATCCAAGAACCATGAAAATTGAATTTTTATAGGCAGCATCTCTGGCCAGGCAACCAATAAGACTCCATGAGTTAAGGTAGATAGCAATCCCTGCATTACGATGGCAAAGGGAACATGGGAGTGAAGAAACCCTTCAGTATATCACTATATTTCCACTGGTAACAAGCAAGGCAGCCCTAACCCAGAGACTTTGGAGGTCCTTCGGAACGGTCTTTGGTGGAATGGATGGCATGATGCACATTTCAATAGACAGTATCAGGTGGCTGATTTCCAAAAAGCTGACTCCAAGATACTGGCACTTTCCACTTGGACAATTTCAGGCTCTGTTGTCAATGGAGCAAGAAAGAAATGCAAAAATAAAAAGTCAGAAAAATCATCAGATACCATCTATCCAGTAGTCAAAAGGCTTGGTTATCATTCCTGGACTTTTTCTCACAAAATTTAAATAATAAATTCACAGTCTGCAGATTAAACATACAGCCCTAGTATACCTTGCTTTTCAAAATGCAACTACAGAGTCTCCTTAAATAAATGGCTGTTTAAAAATTTCCTAAGTTTGGCTTACTGATGTACCTCAAAGCTAAGACTTGCAGAGCCAACTCTGACCCTTCAGCCATTCAAGTCCTCTACTGATTCTTAACTAAATAGGTAAGTACCTGTTTGAGTTGGAGGAGTCGATCAACGAAGTCTGCCAGCATGAAGGCATCTGGAATATTATCACCTTCTGAGCAATACTTCACCAAGGTGATGCATGGAACCTTCTCCTCCTCACTTTTTTTTTTATAATGAAAAAAGAATTTTCCATTAAAGAAGCAGACTGCAAACAAGGGAGGATGACTCTAGCACATATTATAGTAGGATAACCTTCATGCAGAAAACAGTGTTCATCAGTGACATAAACATGTGTATGAGAAACAGAAAAGAGACAGACCATCTTTGAAACAGATGATTAGCAACTCCTCCTCCATGCATCATGACCCTCTCGTTTACATCCCCAGTTGAACCCTTCAAAATCTCCCAGCTTAGTTCACTGGATGACCCCAACAACAAAGAGTATCAACAACTCAATGTCTATAGCAGTTGGAAGGAGAACATTGAGGATCCAGTACTTTTCAAGGCGTTGTTGGAGGGTAGGTGGAGTGGCCATGAAACGAAGAGGGGAACCACGAATCTGCTCGTCATTTCGCTCATAGTCAAAGCAGCTGGTCAGCACAACAATTCGATCCACACTTAGAGTCTTGATCCATGAAATCAAGGACTCCACAAACTCTTTCCTCTTGTGCTACCATAACAAAAGCAACCAAGCATGATCTCAGTGGGAAATGCTAAATGGGTGGTGAGCATGAAATCCTCTTCCCATCTCCTAACAATTGGGTCCCAAATACACAAGGCAGTCACTGACCTGAAGGATGGGGGATCTGATCTGGAGGAGAAGCAGTTTCCTCCCAGTGTCCTTATACACTGCATTGGAAGAGGATAAAAATCCATAAACTTCAACTCTTAACAACAAAAAACCCTCAAGGAAACAATTCTCCAAGGTTGCTGTGCTCCTATTTACGAAAGATGCTTTCATAAAATTTTTTAAACTGAGTGCCATGAAAGTGAGTGATGACTAAATTGGAATCTATGGTTCCTTTGTGTGCATTGTAATAAGTTGTGAAGCTGGAAGGAATGGAGGAAGATTGATGAAGAAAGAACCTTCACAGCTGGTGGAAAGAGTGGGAGTGGAATGAAGCTGGAAAGGGTGAGGACCAGCAAATGGTAGAATGGCTTCATGGTAGAGGCAGCCCACCTTCTCCCCCACCACTGATCCTATGATCAGATCCATGCTCAACTGCCCCACATTCCCCACAGACACAGATGGCTGAGAAGATACATACACTGATGAGTCTCCTGGTCTTTCAATGGATCAGGGCAAAATCTAGCTCCTCACCATCACAAGAGTGAATCCTGCAGTACCCTCAAGACCTGAACTGCTGGAGTGACGGTGGAAGAATTCAACTGCTCCTGGCATCCTCAGCACTTTTGATGATTCAGTTTCAGAGGAACAGGTTCCTAAATTACAAGCAAAGTTCCTCTCAAGGACATTAAGAAAACCACTAACAAGTGTCAACACCAGCAAGGTTCTGCAGGGATATTCCTTTCTGTCACCAGAATGATTCAGCTAACACCCAAACAAGTAGCCTTGTGCTGCTGTGCTTCAGAAGAAATTTCAGAAGAGGTTACAACACAGAGGAAATGGAATGGATATGGAGGATAGCATTTTGATCTCTGGCTTGCAAAATTCACTGCAGCCATCCTCATAAATATAACCATGATTCAGAAAATCTAAATTTGATTCAGATGCCTCATGATTTCATTACTTCATTTTGCCTTAGTACTGCCACAGCTGATATCTACACTGCATATTAAAAATATAATATATACTTTCTTGCAATAGAAACAGATTCATTTGAATGAGGAAAGAACATAGAATCAGCATTAAGAGTGTTCATGCTTTATTCTGACAACCAAAACAGTCTGAGAATGCACAAGAGAGGATGGAAGTTCTCCAGATCAATCTGCACTGTCTCAAACACACCATGAGAGGCTCTTCTGAATGCACCATGAGATCAAGCAAGAGTTGGCTCCAGCTGCACTGCACTGCAGGGAGTCACTTTGGTTTCTTTATGGCCCCATATGCAGGGATGACAATGGGTCTGTTAGCAAGTCCTGGAGGGGGTATCATAGAGATGAGAGGTGGTTTTGAGCCCACTTGGTCCCACTTGCTTCGCCTCTCCTTTGTCTCCTTTTCAGGGATCCCTCCACTGGCCACTCCCATTTTCTTCACCATCCCCGAAACAAACTCCACCTGCAATGGGAGGAATAAACACAACAATAACATCAGTACACCATAGACAAATACAACAATAGGATTCCAAGCATTAAACAACAAGACTATTCCAAGTACTTTTGTCCTTTCCTTTCGTTCCTTCTCTCTCTTCTCCATCTCAAGCTTTTGTACTCTTGCCAGTTCATCATAATAAGAATGTTCTCCCCATCTGTGAGGATCATAAAGTTCCTGAAAAGAGAACAGAACACAGCTATATTACACTGGTCATTAGTGGGTGAGAGAAAGGAAGAAGGAAGGCTCACAGGAGGGAAATTAGTGCCATGCTCATCAATACCACAGTATTGAAGGAGTTTATCATATATGCTTGGATTGCGGAAGTCCTTTCGCCTTTGAATCACGTCATTCATGTCCAATGCTCCTCTTTCCTTTTTCTCATTCAACCTTCTGAATTTTTCCTATGAGACAAAAGCATGTGAATTATTACCCACTTCATAGTTTCTCATGCAATACAAACAAGTGGAAGGGGGATTCAGCACTAATTCAATTTCAATGTAAAGCTCTGAAAAGGGTGAACAGAGTGGACAGCTTTCACACAGTGAGTCGGCACATTAACCAGCCCCCACCATCCAGTTTCAGAAACACAATAAGAATGGGTCAACTTTTCAATGAAAGTTTAAACCCCATAACTACTGTTCTGGGTCCAATGGACCAATTTTTACAATACAAACTTTTTGCCTTTTTTGTAGGCTGTACCATAAACTCAGAGTTTGATTGTCCTGGTATTTTCATGAAGACATGTGATAGTAATTTGGCAAAGTATTTTGAAGATTTTTTTTGGGAATGAAGAGAATAAACAAAGAATTAAAAATATGACCATTCCTGTTCTGGTAATTACAGGGTTAATCTGTATCAGAGGTTTTCACATATTCTTAGGGCTAAATTTTCCTATGAAAAATGCAGGAGACTTTGATACAGCCTGGCAAAAAACACAAGAAGACAAGTAGATGCACTTTGCAGTTTTACAACGATAAATGTTTCCTGATTTTGACATTCTCAGGTAGTCTGCACCAACAGGACTTACTGAGGTGTTCTCAGATGGGCCTGCTCTCACTCCTCCATGAAGGTTTACCATTCTCTTTCTAGCACAATGCCATGATTGATGCAAACTGAATGACTTAAATGTATTATTCTGGATAGGCTTTATAATTGGGTCAAGGAATCACAAAGAATAGTTAGAACCCCATTGGAATGAAATGGCACAGAGTTAACATGACAAAAGTTTAAAAAATGAATACAAGGATTCACTTGACCTTCTGGCAGAAAGAGAGTGCATCTCTCACTAAGCTGTATTTTGAAGCACTCAGTCAACTTCTGCTGACTGGACCACTACAAGAGTGGGTCCAAAAGGCCCAGCAAAAGGAATACACAATTTTTCAATTCCCCATGAAGGTAAGTCTGGGAAAAATAGGGATGAAGGAAAATAATGAAAATGTCAGTGGAGCAAGGATGGTGGCTCACAACTTTTATCCATTCACTGCTGGAGGCCTGCTATTGCTCCGGCAAAACATTTCTGATTTGGTTAAATTATACTTAATATTTCATAACAACCTTAGCCTGCATTGTGTATGGAGATAGACACTGGACCTGTGCCATAGTTCTGACCTACTAACTATTCTTTCGTAGAATGCCAACTACATGATAAAGAAGGGAGATACAAAAAAATATATAGACTTACAAGGAGCTTGGCACTGCATTCACCAGGTGGCTCAGGTGGGAGCCTCACCTCCACTCCATCCTTATTGATGATGACAGGATCTGCTGTCACAACCCGATCCTCCACTTCACCTTGCTCACCTTCACCCTTCTCACCTTCAATATCCTCTCTCCCACTCTGCTGAGCTGCAACATCAGGATCACTGGCAGGCATACTCTCTTCCTCTTCTTCTGAGATGTCCATCGCTTCAGGGATGTGGTCTTCCTCTTCTCCATCAATTATGCCAGCATCAATGTACTCAGGCACCAATGATGGCTTGTTTCGCATTGCTGAACACCACAAAGACAGAAATTTGGAACTATAGGATCAATCTTGCAAGTCTTTTAAAAGATACAGGTTTGAAAGAACATACAATATCATTTAGTAATTAAGCATATTATTAAAAGTAACAATAGCAACAATGAAAGACTATGCTCAGGCTGTGCAAATTAAAAACTCTCACTTGGATTCCCTAGGCCTATGATCATACCTACACCATTGAAGACATACACTTTTGAAAGTAGAATCTAAAAGAAGAAAGGGTACAAACAGCTGCTGGGTGTTCCCTTAGATGGAGTAGAGGCAGCAGAGCTGTTCCCGGCTGAGCTGGTGTGCTGTGGGGAGCCAGTTGAATGGCCTTTAATATCCTTTGAATCTGCACCCCCTTCATCCTCCCCCTCAGAGTCAGTGTATGCCTCTGTGAGTGTATTCAATGCCCCTGACATAGTCACTCCCGAAAAATGTTCGCTTTCACTTGCTCACACCAGTTACATCCAGCAAGTGAAGAATGAGTAGAGGGAGACCTGTGAACACAGTAAATTACACCTGTATAATGGCAAAATGTCTAAGGTACGGGTGGCTCTCTAGGTGACATAAAGGGTGTATCATAGGTTCCAGTTGCACTTTGAACATTCTCATCATAAATAGTTGCAATCCATACGGTTGGATATTCCTCCAACCCCTAGTTTGTCCCCCATATATTTTGTCTGTTTGTCATGTATTTTCCTTTAGTTGACTCTCAGTATAACAAACACTGATTTAATGAAAAACTGGTCATACTGAAATCCTTGACATTGCCTGGTCAAACATCCATAGATACCCACTCTAAAAATTTAGGATATAAATAAATTTCTGATATAACGAAAGAACTTGTGCTACTTGTGTGTGAGAAAGTAAGCAGGATAGAATGAAATAACTTTTTCTCCCTCTTGACCGAAGTGCAGAAGGGTCAGCTCTTCATCTTGGTCTTCACTGCACAGCCTTTGAAAACAAGGGATTTGGCGTGTGTAGAACATGCACGTGATGAGGGATGTGAACATGGGCGATGCAAGTGAATGAAGCACTTCTGTGCTTGCGTAAAGTAGTTTAACATTGGCCTCCTTTGAAGGTCCATGCTCTTTAAACAGCAGAGGCTTTTACACATTTAAACCTTTTGCTGTACAATCGATTTCAGCACGAAGCCAATGGCAATGTTACAGGAAGTAATTGAAGACACTTTTCACAGCAAAAGGGTTGAGACATTAGCTGCCAACGCATTTTCCAACCTTTGAACCATAGGTCACATGGCCATGTGACCCAGAAGTAGATATGTGCTAGCAAAGGTGTTGAAAGTATTTCTGTCCACAAAACCTTCAAAAGCTGTCAGACCCCCATAGTACACCCATAGGGCAATAATCATGTATACACAGCCATAGCAGGATTCAGTTCTCTAATTGGAGATATAAGACTCCCTCCTGATATAAGGACATAATTCTGGTGGCTTTATCAATTTCATAATGAGTCAACTACATAAAAGTATATAGCACTATCTGTTGATCTTCAATATGTGTGCCAGCTTTTTCCATCCCTACAGTATACTTGCCTTCCATGATTTCATCAATTTGCTTATAGCTTGGGGAGAAAAAAAAAAAAAAAACAACCTCCAGGCCATCCTCTGGCTTGAGCACTTTCCATACTTTTCAATAGTAGAACTGCATAATGAATAACAAATGAAACATGTCAAAGACTCATGAAACCCACTGCACTAATGTGGATATCTAAGGATTTACTAGTTAATTGTGAAACAAAATACTCCAGGAAATGCAATTTTGAGGATTTTTCAAAGCCAGAGTTGCATGATTCTCATGCAGGGTATCAAACACCCTCTGGAAAAATGTCAATGGTTCCATCACATAGGTAGGTTATGAATGAGATAATAAAAATCTACAGTGTTCTAGGGAATGCCAAATAACTGCATGGGTCAAGGACTTTATTTGCATGAGCAGACTCAGGCTGGAAACAATTTGCTTCATACCAGCTTGGTTTACAGTCTCATTGAGGGGGTCAACTCAGTTTTCAGCTGCTTATCCCTCACTATCAATCATCTCATTTGTAGTTTTCTCAAATATTTCAAACACAATGGCAGCCCTATGCAAAGAAAAAAACTGTATCACCAATAGACCCAAGAGTAACTCCATCAATCATGAATGGAAGCCAGTGTGGAATAGTACTGCATAAGTTAACCATTCCATTTTGTGTTAGGCATACATCAACTTAAGATCTCTTTAATTTATTGATGTATGCCAAAAATAAATTTTCATATATAATAAAATAGATCTTCATCTGTGTTTCCTCAACATATGTAGTCCAGCATCAAAGACAAGAACTTATATACACAGAGGAGACTACGAAGCCAGCTGACATAGGAAGAAGGCCATTTGATGTGAAGTTTCTCTCTCCCTTTGTGGTCTCTAAATGTGAAAACAAATAGAGGGAGACCAAAGAGAACCTGCTGGTTGGTATCACTGGTCCAAGATATGGAAAATCAATTCTAGGATGAGTGGTCCATCTTCATTCATGGATGCAGCTCGATGAATGACAGGGATAAGTTCTGAGTCCAGGTCATTCATGTACATCCCAGGTAACTTCTTCTCATTGCTCCCTGCTTCATAGCTCACCTGAAGGACAATTCAACTGATTAATACAATGATGGACATGAAAGTTTCTGCCAATGGGTTAAAGAAGCAGCTACCAACATGGCCCAGGAGTGCTAGCCCTCCATGAAATTCAGGCTATTCACATGTTCCAGGTTGAATGACTTACTAATGAAACAAAACCTAGATTCAAGGAGGAGTTTCCATACTCCTTTTGACTTCAACATACAAACATCCTGCACCTGATAAAAGAAAACTTGGGTACTAGGTCTATTTGACAGCCTGTACAGGAATTCCACTGTGATTAAGTTACAGTCATGACATGGGGTTTGCTTTTCCATTCTGATAAGAATGTCTTAATGTCTATTCCCCATGTAGTTACTTGGGAGATGAATAACATAATAACATTCCTTTCAAAATAAACCTTCACACACCATGCACCATAATCAATGATATAGCCACTTCTGTTCCCTCAATTGATGAATATCCCCCTCATACTTGATAGGAAATTACTCATCATTGGAAATATGATTGCAAATTACTTCATTACAATGCATAATGTAATTTGTCATCACTGTGGCATTGGATGATGAGCTAGCAAGGAAGAAAAGGGACTAACAGAGGAGCATGGAGGATTTTCCAAAGTAAGGAATAATATTACATGCCAAATGGCAAGGCCTCATTATAGCAGTGATGAGAACATAGGTCAGAGGAGGTCATTCAGGTTAAAAGCAGATGACTGTCTCAGTCCCAAAAGTTGGCTGAATAACATCTACCATTTTAGGTTTTTAGACACACCAGGGTAGTGGAGATGTTCAACAAGGCCAAGAGTACAAGTGTGCCATACTGTCTTCCTTCCACTATCATTTGTTAACTTGCTATAAGCAACAGTGAGACAAGATCAGTTGTTCATCCCACTTTCTCATACTTCATGAATAACATAATTATAGCTTTTAAGGCAAGCATCTTGCATGGTCACTTGCTCACTCTCTGGGATACATAGGCCTAAGAGGCAACAGCAACAATATAACAGTACTCACATTTTCCACATCAATGGTAGCTCGGAGGCCAATGCGAGAGAAGCCCTGTCGCTTGAGATCATCAAGATGCATGGTAAGGGCCATACAAAGACCCCGTGCCAATGCCTCTGCCACCCGGCTCACATTCAGCGGCTCTGACTGCGATCGACTACTTGATTCATCTGACTGTGATCCAAACCAAAATACACATACACCATCATTCCCTATTCTAGAAAATTGTGAAAAAGAGGTTTTATGAGCATTTATGGGGGAAGAATATCAGATAAGATCAACGCTTCACGAGAGTGATCACAGATCAGGGTATTCTAAGGAGTCAGTGAAACTGCCTCAACTCAGCACTACCTTGAATTCATCCTCGGCCTCATCAATGTCATCATATTTCCCTTTTCCCTCACATCAACACCAATGCCATTTGAATGTGGCATAATCAGACAGACAATCAATGAGAGCAACACTGCTACATAATCCCCTACTTGAAAGCAATGAACAATAAGACTGGCAATCTCACCTCAAGAAAAAAGAGCTCAGTCCAGCGAATGAGCCTGGAATCTCCAAGATAATCTGTGCTTGAATGGATTCGGACCGAGCGAAGACCTTCCATCAACAGGCCATCGATAGGGCTCCGTACCCTGTGCAGGGCAAGGGGGGCGTAAAATCACACCTTTCTCACCTCTATGTGAAAACCATCAATAAGACTCCAAGGAAAGGGAAATAGAGACAAACCTGATGTTGATTGCCTTGTCATCTTGAGCCCACTGGATGAGAACCAGTTCCTGCGGTTGGCTTCCATCCAAAGGACCACAGACAATCTCAAAGTCATTCATCTCCTTCAAGGCCAGCTTCAGTGTGGACATGGTCTCTGTGGGAATGTGGACCATGAGACCATCTTCCACTATTGAAGACTTAGCACTTAACCCTGAACTGGTCTTCAGAGCTCCATTAAAAACAACAAAGCTTGCACCAGTCACTGAAAAGCAATTGAATAAAGTTTTTTTTTGCATTGATACCCAGCACAGATACTGAAAACAACAGAAGAATCCTGAACCTTTCCGTGGCTTGTTCTGGATATTGATGGCTTGAGTCTGATAATTCCCATCTTCATTTTGAATGCAGACAAGGTGTGAATCAGCCTGGAGACTCAGGTTGCTCCCAAGTGCCAGGACATGGTCGTTGGAATCATTGAGTGCCTTCATGACTCGCTCATAACGATTCCGTGGAATAAGGATAGACGTCTGACGTTCCTCCATGTGCACCTTCAGTCCAGGGATTGTAGGGAGACTATATGCATAGTTCCGGAAATCCTGCCAACAAGAAAATAAATTACATTGACACATGAAATCACCAATACAAAACTCTTTCCCTAGTTGCCCTTCAACAACAGTTATCCATTATAAATTTCCTCAACTTAATGTCAACAATTAATAAAGGCCCTACTCAATAAAAGCAACATATCTGAAGCAAATTGATTCATTCTGAGGCTTCTCTGTTACATCATAAACTTGGCACCAACATCACCAATGATCACATTAATACAGAATGCCATGTCAAGTATGCATATCTTGAAGGTGGCTGCAAAAATATTGTGACATCTTAACAAAGAGAGAAAAATGCAATAAAATTCATTGATGAGTTGTGTGTATACTTTGACAAATGAGTTTAAATAGAGCTTGTATCATACCCTAAGGGAGAAGATATAAGAAACAAGTCATTAGTTTTATCCTTACTTACTGGAACCACCTCCCTCCAATGGTGTCTGTCCCAATCCAACTTATCAGATATCACTAACTTGTGCAATGCATTGGTCTGAAATATAAGGGGCAGTCAAATGAAAGTGAGCCAGGGTGTTCTGGATACATAGAGAGTTTGGCTCACTTTCATTTAACTGCCCTTTATATAAACAACCTTCTTGATATAGATCAATGAACTAATAAAATATATTTGCATTCCTATCCTACATGATAATATGCTTGCAAACCCACAGCAAGGACATTCATGATGGTATGGCCAATCTCGTAGAAGACAGGCCTGCGGTTGCGTACACTGACAAGAGGGCAGGGATAGTAGCGGAACTCTGCTCCAAGGCGCAGCAGGAGACGCAGGGGGAAAACCTTTGCCCAAGGAGTCTCCCACTTCTGGAGAAGAATTCCTACTAAGAAAGATCCTGTGTCTGGTGTTGGAAGACCTCTGAGACACTGCAATGTAGGCAGGAACCAGAGGAAGCCACCATGATCTCGTGTACCCAAAAAGGGTCCAGCGATCAACGAATGACCCATGTTCATCATGATATGACCTGTTAAGGGAAAATACAATTGGAAAATAGTCATGCAACAACACAGAGTTTTAGAATTAATTTCATTATTTATTGTACCCTAGCACCTATAGGAAGGCATCATCATTCAAGGATCAACCTCCCATCAAAAACTAGGGAGTTGCAATCTTGCAAAGTTCACAATGACAACCCCATGAGAGAAGGAGTCACCCTTAGCTTCAGCTATTAGAAACTTTGCATTCAGTTCTTTTAAAAGAAGATAAAACCTGGATGCACAACAACAAATGGGGACTTGGGTACATCAATCTAGTTAGGTACAAACCCAACTGGTCCCCCCCCCCCAACAGCATTTTCTTAACCCTTTGGCTGATATGCAAGAACATATAAAACCGATAAATAGCTACTTTTGGGGGTATCACATGATAAGTTTGATAGATTGGCCGTATGCAGAAACATTTCATACCTATCATGATAGGTATAAGAATCATTTCAATCAATTATGATCCAGAGCTTGTTTATTTTGCTTATAACGAGCAAACCTGGGTGGATTGCAGTGCATTTTATTAACCCAATTAATTATGTAAACCATCACAACTTGTGCTGAGTGCAGTTACTCTGAGATAGATTAAATCCCATAGAATTCTTTGTACCAAGCCACAGCAGTCGGAATTCAAGCACTAGTCCAGTAAACAGGGTCAGATTAATACCATTAAATCATCACACTGGTCACTCATGTGACACTCTGGTCAGTCATGTGAGCAGAGACACATGGCATTGTTCCTGAGTGGGAGACAATGGATAGGAGGTTGTCATCAGGAAGATTCATGAATACCTATCATAATAGCCCTCACGATGGATACCTATAATTTGTTCTTGCATACGGAACTGACCAAACAATAGACCTTATCACCTGATACCTACCATGTAATAGGCTATCATGTGATAGGTTCTTGAATACAGGCCTTTGAGGAGTATACCCATATATTAATGGGCTGATGCTATTCTGTGCTCTATATATTCACTACAAGGGAACTTGCAGGCATGAAAAAATCCCACTCCTCAAAGGGTTAATAGCCATTCTTTCACAGACTTCAACTAACTTGATCTAATAAGATGAAAAATTTAAAGCATGAGAAAATTTGAAGCGGTCACAACCAGTGATACCCTTTTTCATGTATTCCATGCTTCCTTTCTCTGATTCATAATGAAACTATACCCATGCCTGAGCATTTAAATCAACCATGAGAGTGGGTTACCTCGGCTGGCTTCCTCATATATGCTCTGTAGGTGAATGAGGATGTCTCGAGGAACAGCGACTTCATTTGGAAGTCTCTCCAACACAATCATGAGTTCATCTTGAGCAACTCCTCCCATTCCACGTGTTGAGAAGACCCAGCATTCTCTATGTACACAGCATTCCACTGCAAATTTAAAAAGAAAGGCTAGTTTTCAACAAATTCTCTTCCTGAAAAGTGAGCACCAGTGGTCAGTTAGGCAAATATAAGACTCACAGGTAACTAATTTCACCATGATGTGAAGATTTTTGTTCACGGCAAATGCTAGAGGCGGTGCATTCTCATCTGGAAATGAGAAAACATAATTGGTCAACTCATGAACAATTTTGGAACAGTTTTTGAATTAAATATAATTAAGCCCTCATTCTGGGGTGAGGTAATGCAGGAGGAATAGGCAGATAGCATTCAACATCACTCACCCCTGAGGACACTGAAGACTTGATCCTTTGGAGGGCACTCTTCAAATTGTATATCTGCAAAGCATTGCAGAAGGGAGATGATGAAACACAAGGATATTGTGACTCAATATAACATTACTGTGCATATGCCTCATTAAAAAAATGGGGCATTAGAATGGAAAGAGTCATCTATGAATGATTCTGTAGTATTTTTTTATTTTCACCATAAAATGTCTTCCTATTCCTATCACAGCCTACTTGCAAGCAGGATCCTTAGCAACAATTATTGAAGCAGGAAAGCCAAAGCAGCAAAAGCAGATCCATCAAAAAGGTTGGGGTAAGGGTGGTGTTAACTGGTGGACCAAGGAGGGAGTAAGGATGGTGGAAACCCTCCCTCATTATTTACAGATGCAATAAAAAGAATGTGGGCAAGAGAAGAGATCTTGACTCCTTCAAGCTGACCTAGGGAGTGGGATACGAACCGGGCTGGGACCAGGTCAAAGGGGCATAGATTAGTGGAGATTGTATTAACAGGCCAAATCTAGGGATGGGGTTGTGTTAGGGGACATTGAAAGTGCATCAGTCTGACAAATGTTAAATGCATGGAAGCTTGTTCTACATTAGTTTAATAATGAATGCTTTTTGATAGTGAGGTAATTTCTGATTTGAGAATCATCCTGATCAAGGATTTGATTTTGCAGTGTTATTCATAATATCCAACAAGATAGGCTACATAATTTGTCAGAAAAAGCATATATTTCAGAAATGGATCAGTATGATGAATCCGATGAGGCATATGAATTCATTTTAATTCCATTACCTGTGAAGCACCTGTTATGTCATGACTTCATGAATGTGCATTTTGAGTAATTAGTTACAATTTGCAAATAAATAAATGTTCACGAGACAACGAAAGTCACTCTTAGTAGTCTAATCTCCCCATTGCCATAGGCCAAAATGTTTAAGTTTCTGTATTTGTTAAGCTGCCTATGACCAGCTTACCTCCTGAGGGATCAGTGGAGACTAGAGGAGGGAAAGAATCTTCTTCAGTGGGAATGAGGCACTGGGAACGGACTGCAGCAAAGGGCAGGGATGTAGGCAGAGCACCCTTCACTCCTAAAGAGTTCACTCAAAGTTTTCAAGGCAAGTGCCACATACACCCCAATTTTGGGTACCCCTAGGCACTTACCTGGCACTGGTGGGGGAACCCGTTTAGGGTTCCTTGGTAGTCTCCTGCTGGGATGTGGCCGGGTGGGTCCATCCAGTTCAGTTAAGTCACCCCCTGGCCTTATTCCATCACTAAACATCACTTGCTTTGGTTCCCCACCTCGTGGCCTGCTTCCACTTCCTGCACAGTGAAAAATATTATCATTATCTTCATCCTTGTAACTAAATGAATAGTAAGGAAACAAAAAGACTTTAACTCAGGAACATTTCACTCAATTAAACTCAAATCTTGCCAAATTTGGAGAGAATAATGGTTTTGTACATTTTCTTTGTGTCTTTCAATAGGATATTTCAGACTTTTCACACGATGTTGGTCATTTGAATGTGTCAATATCAATCAATGGATGATATTGTTTTCAAACATGGAGTGAAAAATGCTAAGCTAAATTCCCATCGAATTAAGTGATATTTCAGAGAGGACCTGAAACATAGAGCAGCGCATCTTTCTTTTCTACTTGTCATACCCCATAAATTAACCATCATCAAGCAGGCCATACACTAAACTTCCATTTCTAATTTATTTCAGTGTACTTCCATCTCTCCAAACAAAGAAAATAAGGGGACCATGATGTTGCAGAATTATCATACTATGGATAGGAAGAACTTGTGCTGCTACATCATCACACATATGGAAAAAAAAATCATGTACATATAATAAAAGGATGTGCAGGACAAGTCAAAGTAACATGACCTTCAGCACAGGGAGAAAGAGACATACCATCACGTTTAAGCACTCCAACAGGGACCAAGACAGAAGGTGGAGTATGAGTGGGAGATACCACTTGTTCCCAGGGAGGAAGAGTGGAGCAGTATTCAGCTGGATTATTAGGGTTTGGTGTCCTCCCAGAGGGAAGCACTGGGCTGTGATTTGGTGGAAGGATGGACGATGGCGGTGCTGTCCTCCTCTCTAGGTTTTCCACTAATAATGCAAGAAAAAAATGGAACTTTTAAAAATAAATGTTCGTGCCACAGAATACTGCTAATGAAGTGAAGAAAATGAGTGGCAATACATGATTTATTTAATGAGCCCTTTCGCGAGTGAATTAGAATATCCCTCTAGAATATAACAAAGGATGCAAAAGATACATGATTGATAAAAGAGAATCTTCATCACAATGCAGGTTTTCATAAGGTCTATGCTTGCAATCCCTGCTGTGATATTCTTGCACATCATGACAACCTAGCATTAAGCCAGTATTAGACCAGGAGCCTGTTCCTCGCCTCCACTAAGTCAAAATCTAAATCTAAATATAAAAGCAGTCAAAAAGCAAAAAGTCTATTCTTTGCCCTGACCCTTTAGACTATGATTTAGATTTAGATTTAAGTTTAGCACAGGTGAGGAACAGGCCCCTGGGCTAATTAAAATCTAAATAAAACAAATTTTGTCACTAATACAGGAAAAATATCAAAGCACTCCAGTAAAACAGTGGTTCTTGACAAAGGATAAAATTCTTACATCTGGTAGTTTTGAATGATTCCTCTCCCTGAACTCCTCAAGATGGAAGCACATATTCAACATTCAAAATTTTGGTGTTCTCTCACCTTTCTGAATGACATAGAGACATTGCTGGCAAACACGACCTTCCTTATTTTCCATGTACTTGAGCTTGGCCTTGGCACCACAGCATGTTTGACAAAGGACCTATTCACATGGAAAGAATGGCATCATCAAATCACTGACATTACCCTTAAGATGACAGTTTCTTCCAACAAAGTCAATACATTTACAAAAACCAATACAAAGCACAGCTTAAAAGCCTTTCCAAAAGAGGCTAGTCAGAGTCAGATTTTCTCAATTTGACCCAGTTTACATCAGAATGAACCTGGTATTAGACTTACAGAGAGAATACAAACAAAGTGAAAGGTCCAAGTTGAAAGGCTTTCAACCACTATAGCTAATACATGATGGGACGAATCCTCTCTTTCATTCCATACTATTTTTCACAGCATAATTATAACCCCATCCCATGATACAATTTGTATGGTTATGATTTCAACATGAAGCACTGTTTTCTAACCTTGCCACATGCCCGACAATGGTGCCTCCTCTTGATCAGGTTAAATTTGAAGTCACATTGCATGCAGGATGGAGCTTCAGCATCAGGAATCCAATAAGGAGCCACCTTCCCTAGCCGCTTTTCTTCTTCAGTCAACATGGGCTCCAATGGACCAGGGAATGCCATGGACCCAGAGGAGGAACTTGTTGATGTCTCCTCTACATGTGGCCCTGAGTCTTCACTGCATTCCCCTTGATCTCCTGAAGGTAAGATAAATCAGGAAAGTTGTCTGTCAGCAGAGAACTACATTTTCATCTTGACTATGACAGAACTGAAAACACCAACCTGGAAACTGGTTACAGGGGGCATCTCCTGATGCAACAGAAGGAATGGGGAGAGAATTGGGCCTATTCACACGCCTTGGAGTCAGAGAAGCATGCATCTCTGAAAATGGACCACCATGGATACTGATACCTGAGGTACCCTGCTGTTCACTGGTCTCACTGACAGCTACCACTGTGTCCACCTCTCCATTACCACTAGGCTCATCATTCACTGCCTGTTCAGGTTCTACAACTTCTGGCGAGGTCAAGCCAACTGCTCCTTCATTATTCACCAGCTGCTCTGCATCTGCCTCAGGCTGTAATGATGTTCCAGGAATTATCACAATGGATGCAGTATCAAATGAGGCCTCTTCTGGAGTTGGTTGCTGCAGACCAGAATTCTCAAGCATTGCTCCATCAACTTGCGAAAGATCTCTTTTCTTTCTTTCCTTCACTTCCTCAAGGCACTCTGATATCGCAGGCTTGGCATCAATCTCAACAGTATCTTCTGATGCAGTCACACCTTGAACGTCTGGCAGATGTTCTTCAGCTGGGATCTCAGTTGACTGGTTCACATCTAAATCAGATCCATGCACAATCACAGATACTACAGAATCTTCACATTCAGGACTTCTGGCACCATGTTGTTCCTGACACGCTCCACTTAGCTCTTGTATTGCAGACACCTGCACCACATCCACAGTCTGGATAGAGGTGTCCCCCAGAGTGACATCTGGTTTAACAAAGCTTGACAGGATTCCTCCATGGGCATCTGGAGAAGAGACTGCTGGAGATCCAGCAGTTTCTACCACTTCTGTCTCACCATCATGATCAGACAGTTGCTCCAGCTCTTGTTCAAGATCAGCCTCACTAATTCCAAGGTCCAATCGGAAGCCCACAACAAAGCCAGATTCATTTCCATCACAGTTACAGCTAATAGTAGTTTCTTCAGGCATAGCAGAGGCATTTTCCCTACCCATCCTTCTGGTTTCCTGATCTAGAGCTTCTTCAATTTCCACCCTTGCTGAAGGAAGGTCTTGATGATCTATGTGACCACTCTCCACCAAGTCAAATTTCATCTGAACCTTTGACCCCGAAGCTGGCTGAAAGTCCTGGCCATTGGTTCTCACTGCAACATCTGGTATAGACATAGCACCAACAACAGCTCCCACCTGATCATTTCCTTCAGGTCCAATGCGAATGCCACTGTCTGAGCATGACTGAAAGTCCTCTTCAGGCAAGGAGTGAGAAGCACCCACACCCAAATCCCTGGCAACATCACAGATATGCAAGGTCGAGTCAATATCTAACAGATCCGGTCTACTGGAGGAATCCCCAAGCACATCTGGGATTTGAGGCACAGCAATATCAAGAAGCATTGGTTCATGGCCTGCAGCAAGTGTATCATCACTGCTCCCTGGAAGTCCATCAACTCCATTGACCAAGTTCATATCGGCAACACCATTCATTTGCTCAAGACTGTCTTGTTCTCCTGACTGGTTGTAAGATATAGGCCTAGCAGAAGCACCAAAGTCAGCTTCAGGCTGACTGGCAGCCTCACAGAATGGCGGATGAGATGAGCCATGATCATCACGTGTCACTGGGTAGTCAAGAATAGGCCAGCTTGAGTCTTCAGAAACATGACTACTAGGTTCTTCTCTCGTTGTGAGATAGGGATCAAACATTTCATTAGGCCTACTCCCATCCTGGAATATGTCAATACATCTCATTGATTATAGATTAACTGTTTCATTAAGATATAACTATGGTACATTCTTTCTCAAGAATCTACCTTGGAGTCTGTTCCATTGATCTCCAGGACTCCAGGGGACTCTGCAGACTGAGAATCATCATCAACATCTCTTCGATGACTTGCCTTCCTCGTCAGATGCTCTTCTTGATCTACATGAATAAAGTACTAATGCAACTGCGGTCTATAAACCAGGGGCTAGTTTTTGCATTACAAATTCTGATCTATATCTAAACTAAATCCAGATCTGAAACTTGTCTAAATCAATGTTGAAATCATACATATAGCTCACATCTCCTTTTCAGACTGCTTCAAGATTACATTGAGACTCAATTACACCAAGGAATTTGGATTACTCTTCCCTATCTGAAATCATTCTAAATCTCAACCAATTTGTGGGATATCGTCTTTATGTCTTTGAATCCAATAAGTTAGAATTGAAACTGTTCAATAACCAAATACTCTCAAAACACTTCTCAGGGAATACACTGCTCTCAAGAAAGCCAGTAATAACATCATAAAACCCTGATGAGTACTTTCACTAGCTGAAACAGCACTAGAGAAAAATGTCAACATATAAAGGGTAACTCACCTTCATTATACTCAAACTCATCAAGAACTTTGTCCAGATCCACTGTAAACTTGTCCATGCCTGTTAGGCTTGATATAATAAAAATGTAGAGACTAGCATCTTTTAATTACTTTCCTCCTTCTGGGAAATAACATCGGTTATGCTGATAGGCAACCTGTTAGAAAAACAAAGGCAACAATACTTGAATTAATAGATCCATGACTCTCACTTCACCAAAGGGAATTCTTACACAATATACTAAGGTAGACTATTCTGATTTACTGGCAAGGAAAAGGTTTATTTGGTTATCAGATGACAGTGACTTCAAATAACTTTGTTCCAAGAAAAACAACTTCATGGTGAGTTCCAGTCTAGGAAACCTTGAACACCTTCACCCAAGTGTAATGGGGAGTAACATTCCGCTAAGAAACCCCATCAATAAATTGAGGAAAATATAAACTTTTAGTGGAATCTAGCAAATCTACTCACCATTGACAAGTAGTCTATAAGATGGTCTAATAGCATGAAAATGAAAATTACACCTCTAACCAGCAAAGATGAAAGCCATACCAGAGATTTCTTTAGTTGAGGTGTACACTTAAAGGATTGGTGTCATACTCTCCCTTACCAAAGACAAGTGAAAAGGAATTGAATTGTGAAATTAGCTTACTTATTTCTATTCAAAACACTGATTACTGATGGTAAAATTAATATGGATATGATGCCAATACCATCTTAGTCCTCACTAGGATTTTACCAGAGATGATACCAGGGTTCTATATGGATCCAATAGGCATGAAGGACACAAAATACTACCACAAAACAAATGTAATATTTAAATTTCATCAAGTCACAAACATAACACTGACAGTCATTGAATTAAATCAATGGGTTGAGTGCCATGAAGTCACACCAATTTCTAGATATATACCCAAAAGCAGTTTCCACACCAACCATCATGATTGGTATTAAGACACATTCCAATAACTAGCATCATAGTTACACAAGGTGTAACTACCATCACACTGAATATCTTTCAGTGAAGCACTAAAATGTCCAATGTCTTTTCAACAGGTGTGGTAATATTTAATGTTGAAATAGACAATGCCACCTACTATCATTGCATCAGGTGTCATTCCATTGGACATTGGAATGGGGTGTGAGCAAGGCATGCAAACAGAAGTACAGTGCATACCACTTTATTAGGACATGCTGGTTCCAGGTCAATTTGCCTCAATTAAGTGGCTGCCAAAATAAAGTGTACTTACCTTATAGTATAGTAAGAAACCCAGACACAAATGTCTTTTACTAGTGCAAAAAAAAGCTATGAAAATCCTAAGAAATTGCCATAGACACAATGTAAATGCAATGTCCATTAAAATGGACACCAGGTCTGAAAGGGTTAAGCAAGATACCATGCATGCTCTCTTGTTAAGGTTGAAGTAAAGTGTGTCTTTTCCTGTACACCTTAGAGTGAAAACCAGCAATGACCAGGATGTTTAACAAGTGCCACTGATTGCCTTAAGGTGCTGTCACTTCCAGTCAATACTGGAATGGAGTCCTGATCCCCCTGATATCATTCCCAGGAGTCTAAATCAGTCACAGCATGGAAACAGCACTTGCTGACAATGAAAAGCGGGGATTGCATTGCACACTGTACACATGACAAAGATCCATAGGGAATGTACACAATGCCCATTCCTTCCAACAGCTGTATTAAAACCCTCTAGTATCACATACCTGCTCACAACCCTTGGTCATGTCTAATGCAGACTTCACGCCATGACAAAAAGGGTGACTATTACTTTTGAAACATCCAGCAGGAAATCATGCAGTGGCAATCTAGTAACAATGGTATCCATCTGTCTTTGTTTAGCACTTCCTGGACAAGATGAAAAGAGACAGGGCATTTTAATGAATGATGGCCTAGACTGCCTTATTCATATGCCTCGTGTTCTTACCCAAAATTTCCAGTGCCCCTGGTATGGCTGGGCCTAGGTCTTAACCAACCTTTGAGGCACATGTACACCAACACAGGTGGAAGGTAGTTTCTCCCCCCCCCCCCCAAATCTTTGAAATGCAAGGAGAGGGGATGGGTCAGTTTTGTCCTCCCAAAAATTTAGTCAGTTCCATTAGAATTGACCGATCCAGAAATAACCTCCTAGCTTGCTTAACCCTCTTCCCTAGCAATTGCATAGAGTAGAAAGGTAAACAGTGTTCATATGTTGAATAATCCTATGGTAACAGTTAAGCATGTATCACTTAGAGATAGGAACACACTAGCCCTAGGGGGTATGCACTTAACCCTTTCAAGCCATATGGTTACGTTTGCGCCATCAACTTTCTGAATTTTCTAAATCCATCATATGAATGCCTGTGAGCTATTGTCAGCAAGATTAAGATAACAACAGCCTCATTCTATCAGTGAGTCTAGTAAATGTCTCATAAAGGCACATTATTATCCACTGCGTGAGCTTGAGGCAAGTTCCTTTTTTTTAAATTCGGGCTTGAAAATATTAACCACAACTGAACTAAGAGGGGGTCTTCTACTTGTCAGCTGGGCTGGCCTATTCCACCAAGAGTCACCTGGTGGATGCAGTCAATAGCCCTCAGAGCAGAGTCACCTGGCTAAGGGCTATGGCCCTATGGGCAATCATCCACACACAGAATGAGAAGAGTTTAACTCATAATGTGATGGCTCCCTACATATAGCCTAGAAGCCAATAAAAGTTGTAATACCAATAGGCCTTCCCACACATAATTTAATGTTACGCCTGTTGCTGATTAGGTGTATTACACCTAGGTGTGGGGTCTAACCTAAATTGAGGTTTCTCTTTAAACATTCACTAAGCCTAAGGTTGGGTATGGCTAAGTCTCACACTCAGACAGAGGCCTCCTGGACTATTTCCATGGGTCAGCCTATTCTCTGCAACAATGAATCAAAGACAGGAAAACTTTCCATGCAAATGGTTAACCCTTTCACTGCTCTAAGCTGAAATACCAGTTGTGTGCCAAGTAGGTTTCAGAAAAACTGGACTGCAAATGGGTTAACAACTGCATCTGGTGAACTTCCAGTTGAATAGGCCTAACAACAAAGGTACTAAGCAAATCAAAAGAAAGGGACCCTACTTTTTTTCTTTTTTTTTTTGGGGGGGGGGGGGGGGGGGGCGGAAAAAATGTTTTCCAACCCACCGTCTAGCAAAGGGTCCCTGCTAGGCGGAAGGTTGGACTTGTGGGAAAACCCACATTACCAGTTTAGGGGGGGGGGGGGCAGGAGCATCTTATTCTTTGCTTCCATGCCCTCCAAAAATTGATGCTCCAATGCTATGTCATTACATGCGATGTCACCACATTTACATACCTTTAACCTGGTATTCCTTATTGTAAATTAGACCCAATGTTAGAAATACCCACCTCCCATTCAATGCTAAAATGCTCATTCCCTCAGGCAAACCAAGGCATGCTCCAAGGTGAGCCTACAGAGTTTAATGTCAGACATTTACTTCCCCCTCCTCACATGTTTCAAACATTTCTCAGGGTTTTCAGGTAACCATGTAGTTGCAAAGTAATAACTTCACTTCTGTGGAAGTAGTGCCATTCAGTGCGTTTGGCGCATTATTATATTGCACAACTTCGCAGTTCATATTGATTGCAATCACTGGGGGTCACTCGGGCGCTAGCAAAAATGCCAACGTTACGTGGTACGCGGGGATCACTAAATAAAAATCGAAACAGGCTATATGGAACGCGAATTGACACCATAACTGCATTTTTTTAATCAAAATGGTTGGTATAAGGTACTTATGAACCTTACTTTTGCCTCTAGTGTAACGCTCAAGAGGTGTCTCTCCTCAGGAGTACAATGTTCAGGTTAGGCCTAACGTAAGGCGAAAGTGGCTTGGATCAAATACGATAACTCTGGTCACGAACTCACAGATGAACACAATAAAGAAACCTCCTTGGCATACAAAGCAGTAATCCCCTTACTGACATCATGCGACTTTCCATAAGGAGTGATGTCTTGCGCAGCAGAATTTCCATGATCACGCGGGTCAGTTTCCCAACAGCGCAAGCAGCCATAACTACTTCCTACTTCCTGCGCATCTTCGACCGCTTCTAGTTTCGAAGCTCCGATCTAGGGTTCCAGTCAGGCAAATTTGGTCAAGTTTTTCAAATATATAATGGTGATCCACGTTCTCCTATATATTTACCCATGAAACAATTGGATGACCTGCTACATAGGGTGTTTAGCAAAAGTAAACCTGCCTCTGCGGCTGATCCTGCAGTCGAGGGGCTTTGTATCCAGCAAACCACAAGTACTCCAGATTAGAGGAAACGGAGATACATCGACCAAGAAATGCGAAATGAACCTAGAATGCTTACGTGGAATCCACATTGAAATAGCAAAAAGGTCAACATGGGCAGCATGTAGATATTTCGACATGTAATCTTCCTCTCAATGTTGATTTTTCCCTTCCCTCCGTACTTCCACCAGATTCCATTTCTGAAAATATAAAAATTTGATTAGTTAACAATCAAATTAAAGCTGAATCTCCCTTCTGTAAGAACATATAAGTCACATAGTGAACCTTTCCTTTACGGTAAAAAAACCTGTACTTTTCTTCAAATCGTTTAACAATTTAAATGTTCCGGCGCTTAACGTTAAACAAAGCGTTTTACGTTTTCTTCCGCGAGATTGCATCATATAATGAAGCCCCAGCCCACAAAAATACCTTTTGCATCGGTTGCCTTATTTCCCTCCGATATTAGGATTCTGTAAATGCGCACTCCTTCATTTCCAAGAGCCTCGTAACGCAATAAAATGACGATGTTCCTGTACAACACGTCGGGGATAGCGAACAAGTTGCAGCCATTAAGTTGCTCATTGAGTTTGGTTCATTACTGAGCTAGTCCAAGGGCTACTAACCATAGGGTGTATATGGGATGTCTCTGGAGAGGCCTTCGCCATGGTCCTTCGAATAAGATTTCTCGGGACCCAGCTTTCGCTGCCCCACGAGGCATAAGAACCTCTGCAATTTGGGGACTGGGAATCCTGGCGTGCGCATATGTACTGGATTTTAGCTGAAAGGGTGTTCGTTTTCGGGAAGATGATCCCTATTTTTCACGGAGATGTGGATTTATAAACACTTTATAGGTGAGTCCGGTGAGATACACCAAAACGCAATATT